TTTTTTTTTTTGATATGTCTTTATTGATTTCAGAGAGAGGGAGAGGGAGAGAGATAGAAACATCAGTGATGAGTCACTGATTGGCTGCCTCCTGCACGCCCCCTGCTCGGGATTGAGCCTGCAACCTGGGCATGTGCCCTGACCCAGAATCAACCTCAATCTCCTGGATCCTAGGTCGATGCTCAACCACTGAGCCACACCGGCCAGTTTGCCTCCCTTTCTTGAATGCACGTTCCTTTTTTCTCACTACTCCTATAGCCAGCCAATGGAACAGGGTTCCATGGAACACCAGTTGGGAAACACTGCATTACCAGGCTACTCTAGGAAGCTTATTGTATAAAGAGAACCATTGCCCCCTATGTTATCTTTCAGCTGGATTGCCATTGGCCTTGCTTCAGGTGAGTTACACCTGAGCAGTGCACTGCCTGGATAATTTAACTGAGTGTTAGGCCCTGTGGGGGTTTGGGGACAAATTTTCAGCCTCCTCTCCAAACTCATCCTCCAAGTCAAGTAAAGGGCAAAGAGCAGGTTCCCCTTGGGAGGGGCTAAGAGAGAGCAGTGTGCAGAAAGGAAAGAAGTCTTCCCAAGGCTCAGCCCCCTGAGGAGGAAGGCCAGGGTTGGGACAGAGGGAGAAGGCAGAATGTCCCACCTACTAAACCTTCACTCTGCAGGACTGCAAGGCCAGAGCTGCAGGCCCTGGGAGCAATGAGTGGCTCCCTGGACTCACCTTCGCCCACTCTGTGAGTAAGAGTTGGGTTCTGACTTAACTACTTATGCTCAAATCCCAGCTCTTCACCTAATAGTTGTGTAACCTCTCTAAACGTCAGTTTCCTCCAACTGTAAAATGGGTTCAGTGATAGGACCTAGCTCCTCTGTGGCTGTGAGGATTAGATACGATGACATGTGTCTCTAAAGTGTTCACAGGGACTACTCTAAATGTGGGAAATTATTATTATCTCCCCCCTGCAGTAGCAGCCGACGCCTGGGTTCACCATGAACTGGGGGATCTTCGAGGGGCTCCTAAGCGGGGTCAACAAGTACTCCACAGCGTTCGGGCGCATCTGGCTGTCTCTGGTCTTCATCTTCCGAGTGCTGGTGTACCTGGTGACGGCCGAGCGAGTGTGGAGCGACGACCACAAGGATTTCGACTGCAACACCCGCCAGCCGGGCTGCTCCAACGTCTGCTTCGATGAGTTCTTCCCCGTGTCCCACGTGCGCCTCTGGGCCCTGCAGCTCATCCTGGTCACCTGCCCCTCGCTGCTGGTGGTCATGCACGTGGCCTACCGGGAGGCGCGGGAGAAGAAGCACCGAGAGGCGGCGGGGGAGGACGGCGGGCGCCTCTATCTGAACCCCGGCAAGAAGCGGGGTGGGCTCTGGTGGACATACGTCTGCAGCCTGGTGTTCAAGGCCGGCATAGACACTGTCTTCCTTTATGTGTTCCACCTGTTCTACCCCAAATACATCCTCCCTCCTGTGGTCAAGTGCCGCGCGGCCCCGTGTCCCAACACAGTGGACTGCTTCATCTCCAAGCCCTCAGAGAAGAGCATCTTCACTCTCTTCATGGTCATCACGGCTGCCATCTGCATCCTGCTCAACCTCGTGGAGCTGGTTTACCTGGTGAGCAAGAGGTGTCGCGAGTGCCTGGCAGCGAGGAAAGCCAGGGCGGCCAGCGCCTCTTCCCGCAAACAGGATGACCTCCTCGCAGGCGACCTCATATTTCTGGGCCCAGACACTCACCCTCCCCTCTTACCAGACCACCCTCGAGACCACGTGAAGAAAACCATCCTGTGAGGGGCTGCCTGCGCTGGGCTGGTGGCGGGCCTGGCTGGAAGGGCCCCGCATCTGTCACGGGTGCAGCCTTAGGGGTGGGAAGCTCCTGCCACCTGCCCCAGCTGTGTGGCCTTGGGCACCTCCGTCTCCTTTGTGTAAAATGGAGATGATGAGGCCTACCACATAGGGCTGTTGCTATGAGGAGGAGTTTAATTAGAGGACAGATGTGCGAGCAACTTTCATGTGTGGGACCCACGGTCAGGGCTTAATAAAAGTCAACTCCTCCACTGATTCAAGGTACCCTTTGGTCCTTCAGCCTTTATGACCCTTATCACAAAGAGAGGGTCACTGGGTCACTCTCCCCGCCCCTGCGGAGGGTTGTCCAGCCAGGTGAGGAGCTATCCTCTCCCCCAGAAAGAGTCCCCAGCACTCCTGGGGGTCACACTGCCTGCTCATGCCTTTATCCTCAGTTGCAATTTTAGGCCTATAGATTGTCTGCAAAGAGAATGGGTGTTAACATGTGAGGAGTGGCATTGGGCAGTAGACTTGAGTCAGAACACTTGCATTCAAGCCCAAGTTTCACTGGGACTCTAGGGAAGTGACTTCAGCTCCCCTCCAAAGCGAGTTAATGATTCTGAGCCTGTGGGATTGTTGAGAGGACCTGATGAGCTCATGGTTGTGGATGGGGTTAGCCAGCTATAAAAGGCCACATAAATGTTAATCATTGGTATTAGGAAGTGCTCAATAAATGCTTGTGGGAAATGAGGCAGAGGAGCCCCTCCCTGGCTACACATTAACCTTCACTGCCCCAAGGTCCCTCTGCAGCCCCACTGGATCACACTCCAGCTTCCCTGTGGGCCTGGCCACAGAGTGCTGACAGCCGGGGCATTTCACGCTGCCACCCTGCTCTCCTTGTCTCCACCAGGCAGTGGGTTCCCTTGTTTAGAAGAGCCACAGTCAGCCCCTCCCATGCCCTACACAGCTTGCCAGTGACCCAAGCTCTAGTCCCCAGAAATGTTCCCAACCAAGGTGGGATGCTGAGTCAAGATTGCCCCTTTCTACAGATGTCAGCTGCTGAGGACTTCAGAACCAGGCTTCCAGAGAAAAGGGCAGGAGAGAGGCCTGAGGACAGAGGGACAGGAAGCAATAAGGCAACGGGAAGGGGACAGGAGCAATGCCATGGGCCTGGGGAATGAGGATACCAGGCTCCTGCCCCCCTCACTGCAGTCTCACCCACATACCTGCCAGACCAGGTAGCCCGACCCGGCCATGCCCAGCCAGGCTGGAGAGAAGGCGTGGGCCAGGCGAGGAGCCGCAGGTGTTTGCTCTGAATATGTGCCCGGGGAAGTCCGCCTGCCAGCCTGCCCACCCGCTCACTCTCCTTGGCCCATTGGCTCAGAAAGCCCCACCCAGCAGGGGAGTAAGGAACAAAAGCTGCCTCTGGGAGGCCCTCAGGCAGACAGACCAGCGCAGGGACAGGAGAGAGGCTGCGGGACCCAGGACAGAGAAAGGTGAGGACCACGTTGGGCAGGAGGCTGGGCTGGGAAGCAGGGTCTAGCAGGGCTGAGGATCCCCAGGGGGCCTCGGGCCCCGGGCCATGCTTCAGGGAAAAGCAGAGGGGACTGAGGTTCCCTGGAAAGAAACAGGGAAGCCCCATAGAGGGGAAGGAATGTCCTTCCAGACTGAAGGGAGGATAGAGGTCCAAAGAAGAGGCAGGAAGAGGAAGGAAGTGGGGTTTCGATTCAGTTTAGCAAACATTATTGTGTGTTCACTGGGCCAGGCCTGGTGCTGAGTCCTGGGAAACAGAGATGGTGAGACAGGGGGCTGCCCTCCAGAAGGACAGCCTGGCACAGAAGACAGGAAAACAGACCATTTGAGTACAGATAATGCATGAAAGGAGGGTGCTAGGAAAATGTCCCAAGGGCACGAAGTCTGAAGATGCTGAGATCTGAGTGAGGGACAGAGGAGGAGCCAGGGTCAGAGATGGAACATGATGGCACTCCAGCGGTGGAGCACATAGGACAGGGGCCTGAGTGGAAATAACAGATTTGGCTAGCAAACAGCCGCTGAGCAAACAAAGAAGGGGATGTCCCTGAGAGAAAGGGTAAATGTGGGGCGGACCGTGCCAGAATCCCGCCTCTGTCCCTGCCCCACTCCCTCCCCTAAAGCCAGAATGGTTGGAATTCCAGCGGAACCCACTGTAGTCAGGACAGTCAGCAAGCGGGGCCAGCATCCATGGCGGGAGGGGAGCAGCAAGGGGCCAGGATGATACCAAGCCACGGTGGTTCCAGAGAGAGAGCCTGTTTGGTTTGGGAAAGAAAGTCAAGGCAGGGTTGTCCTGGGGCCAGAGAGGAGGAATGAGAATGGACATCACACGAGGGTCTGCCTAAGGCTGACGTGAACATGCCCAGCTCAGGGTCTAGCTCACGTTGGAGGAAACTGGAGGCTAAAGATACTTGTTGCTCCCCTCCTGCCCTGGTCCTGCCCTGGTCCAGCCCTGGCAGCCATTGGCAGAGTGGATCATTCAATCCATGCCTTCCTGCTACTTCTTTAGAGGTCGGTGACCCACAGGGCTGAAAGTTGGGGTCAAAGCAGTTGGCAGGCACATCCACGCAGGACGATTATCCTTCACGTGTATCTGTTACTTTATAGAACAAAATATTGCCTGATTTTGGAACTGGAAGACGGAAGTTCAAGACCAGCTCTGCCACTTCCAGTTGTGGGGCCTTGGGCAGGTGCCTCTCTGGGCCTTAGCTTACTCCCCTTTGAAACGGGGACAATGGCAATCCCTACCCCGCCAAGTCATTGTGAGTGAGGACCTGATTACACAGTGGTTGTGAAACAGTTTTGCCAATCACATCTTTAATAAAGGCACCCATTTCCAGGTTCTCCCTGGCCTGAGTAGGTGTACGCTGTCCACGTGAGGAACCGGCAGCATGAACTGGGGGTCCCTGCAGGGCCTCCTGAGTGGGGTCAACAAGTACTCCACGGCGCTGGGCCGCATCTGGCTGTCAGTGGTGTTCATCTTCCGCGTGCTGGTGTTCGTGGTGGCGGCAGAGGACGTGTGGGATGACGAACAGAAGGACTTTGTCTGCAACACCAAGCAGCCGGGCTGCCCCAACGTCTGCTATGACCAGTTCTTCCCTGTGTCCCACGTGCGCCTCTGGGCCCTGCAGCTCATCCTGGTCACCTGCCCCTCGCTGCTGGTGGTCATGCACGTGGCCTACCGCGAGGAGCGGGAGCGGAGGCACCGCCTGAAACATGGACCCAATGCCCCGTCCCTGTATGACAACCCCACCAAGAAGCGGGGTGGGCTCTGGTGGACATACTTGCTGAGTCTCCTCTTCAAGGCCGCCGTGGACTCGGGCTTCCTCTACACCTTCCACCGCCTCTACCAGGGGCATTACGACATGCCCCGAGTAGTGGCCTGCTCCGAGTCACCCTGCCCCCACACTGTGGACTGCTACATCTCCCGACCCACCGAGAAGAAGGTCTTCACCTACTTCATGGTGGCCACAGCTGTGATCTGCATCCTGCTCAACCTCAGCGAGGTAACCTACCTGGTGGGCAAGAGGTGCCTGGAGATCGTCGGCCCCAGGCACCGTCGGTCTCGGCGCCAGAGTCGCCTACATGATTCATGCCCACCATATGCCCTCTCCCAGGGAGAGCACCCCCAAGACGGGAACTCTGTCCTAATGAAGGCCAGCTCGGCCGCATTGGACACAGGTGGGTATCCGTGACCTGTGAGGTTGGCAACTAGGACCACCATGTCCCCCACCTGCTCCCTGAGACCACAGCAGGGCAGTCGCACTCTCTGCAAGTAGGCATGTGAGGAAGGGGCTATGGGGCTCCAGAAGTCCACCCAGGGGCCAGTGCTGGGGGACAGTTCTGTCTCAGCGTCCTGAGCCCCAGGGGAGGGAGATTTAATGGCTGGAATTTTATATGTGGTTATAGGGTATGTCAAAACCCTTAATAAATATGCTCTTCTCAGTACCTTGCAGACCAGGTGAGGAGTGATAGATAGGAAAGCAAGGAGGTTGCAAGGACCTTGGAGAGGAGGCCAAGACCACTCAGTGGGCACCTGAGCCCTGGAACCTCAGATCCTGGTTCACCTACCTCACACACACACACACACACACACACACACACACACACACACTCACACACACACAGAGTGTGCCCCCAGGCCGTGGTGGAGATACCCAAAGGCAGAGGCTGCTCCAGGGGTTTCTGGACTCTGCAACCAGCTGGCCAAGGCAGGAGAGGGACCCCAGGAGACCCTGTGCCCAGCACAAGTCAGTTCTCAGCCAGAGTCCCTCAGATGAATGCATAGTTCTCAGGAGGCCTCTGCCTCCCCCATCCTGGCCTCCCTGCCCCTGCGCAGCATAGGTCCTGGTAGGTGAGGCCCCTCTGAGGGTGGGAAGGGAAGGTCTAGTGGAGGTAGGATGGTGCTGAGAACAATTCCAGGATGGATGGGCATCTGCCAGGGTGTGGAGGAGGCATATCCCCATAGGCTAGGGGCCCATGAGAGCGGCCAAGCCAAAGGGTCCCTCATGGATCCCCAAGTCTGAGGAATTGTCCTTCTCTTTACGAGATGCACATCCCCTCATTCTACTTCACCCCCACCCCACCCCCCACTCAGACCTTGGTCACTTCCAAAACCCCACTGCCANCGAGGAGCGGGAGCGGAGACACCGCCTGAAACATGGACCCAATGCCCCGTCCCTGTATGACAACCCCACCAAGAAGCGGGGTGGGCTCTGGTGGACATACTTGCTGAGTCTCCTCTTCAAGGCCGCCGTGGACTCGGGCTTCCTCTACACCTTCCACCGCCTCTACCAGGGGCATTACGACATGCCCCGAGTAGTGGCCTGCTCCGAGTCACCCTGCCCCCACACTGTGGACTGCTACATCTCCCGACCCACCGAGAAGAAGGTCTTCACCTACTTCATGGTGGCCACAGCTGTGATCTGCATCCTGCTCAACCTCAGCGAGGTAACCTACCTGGTGGGCAAGAGGTGCCTGGAGATCGTCGGCCCCAGGCACCGTCGGTCTCGGCGCCAGAGTCGCCTACATGATTCATGCCCACCGTATGCCCTCTCCCAGGGAGAGCACCCCCAAGACGGGAACTCTGTCCTAATGAAGGCCAGCTCGGCCGCATTGGACACAGGTGGGTATCCGTGACCTGTGAGGTTGGCAACTAGGACCACCATGTCCCCCACCTGCTCCCTGAGACCACAGCAGGGCAGTCGCACTCTCTGCAAGTAGGCATGTGAGGAAGGGGCTATGGGGCTCCAGAAGTCCACCCAGGGGCCAGTGCTGGGGGACAGTTCTGTCTCAGCGTCCTGAGCCCCAGGGGAGGGAGATTTAATGGCTGGAATTTTATATGTGGTTATAGGGTATGTCAAAACCCTTAATAAATATGCTCTTCTCAGTACCTTGCAGACCAGGTGAGGAGTGATAGATAGGAAAGCAAGGAGGTTGCAAGGACCTTGGAGAGGAGGCCAAGACCACTCAGTGGGCACCTGAGCCCTGGAACCTCAGATCCTGGTTCACCTACCTCACACACACACACACACACACACACACACACACACACACACTCACACACACACAGAGTGTGCCCCCAGGCCGTGGTGGAGATACCCAAAGGCAGAGGCTGCTCCAGGGGTTTCTGGACTCTGCAACCAGCTGGCCAAGGCAGGAGAGGGACCCCAGGAGACCCTGTGCCCAGCACAAGTCAGTTCTCAGCCAGAGTCCCTCAGATGAATGCATAGTTCTCAGGAGGCCTCTGCCTCCCCCATCCTGGCCTCCCTGCCCCTGCGCAGCATAGGTCCTGGTAGGTGAGGCCCCTCTGAGGGTGGGAAGGGAAGGTCTAGTGGAGGTAGGATGGTGCTGAGAACAATTCCAGGATGGATGGGCATCTGCCAGGGTGTGGAGGAGGCATATCCCCATAGGCTAGGGGCCCATGAGAGCGGCCAAGCCAAAGGGTCCCTCATGGATCCCCAAGTCTGAGGAATTGTCCTTCTCTTTACGAGATGCACATCCCCTCATTNGGATGCACATCCCCTCATTCTCCTTCACCCCCACCCCCCCACTCAGACCTTGGTCACTTCCAAAACCCCACTGCCAGCCTGGACCTGCCTGAGTCCCAGAGCACCCACCAACTGCCCATGGGACAGCCCTCCAGGAGGCCCCCAGGCATCTCCCGCTCAGCAACTCCCAAACCCACCCTCCTCACACATATCACTGCCTACCCCCTGAAGGGCACTGCCACCCACCCAGCTGTCCAGGCCGGGAGCTGGCCTGACATCTTCACCCCTCCCCATTTCCCAGCCCCTCACACCCCACATCCCAGTGTAGCACCAAATCCCACTCACTGCAGCCATGAAATTCCTCCTGAGGGTGCCCCTCCCTTCCGCCCTCCACTATAAGTCAGAGTGGGCTTTCTATATACCAGTCTGACCATATTGTTCCTGCTGCATTAAAAATTCCAGGGTGGAGATGGAAGAGGGCACAGAGGGGATAAATGGTGATGGAAAGAATAAAAAATAAAATAAAATAAAATAATAAAATAAAATAAAATAAAATAAATTCTCTTCTACCACCACCATCCCCATTGCCCTAAACCTGGCCTCTCCAACCTCACCTCTGCTTCCTCCCTCCTTTTACCACGAATAATATCAAAGGGCTCATAGTTCCCCAGCCAGACACATCATGCTGTGTCATGTCTACAGGCATGCTGTTCCCTCTGCCTGAAATGCCCTTCCTCCCTTCTTGAGACCTTCCTGGAACCCCAGAGAAAGCCTTAACCACCTTCTCCATGCCCCAGCCTAGCTCGTGCCTCTGTTACTCTCCCCAAATTACAGTGGCCATATCTCCCATCAGGCTGGGAGCCCTTCACGGGCAGGGCAGGGCAGGACGCTGAGTCATCCAGGCCTGGCTGCCTTCAATAAATGTTTGTTAACTGAGTAAACTGGCTGTGAGCTGCTTGGTGTAAAGGACTGAGTCTTGTTCATTGAATCGTCCGCCACGCCTAGCCTAGGAGTTCAGCAAAGTGTTTTTCTTTATTTGTTTGCATGTATATTTTGTTGTTGTTTTATTAACTAAGTCCAGCCTAAAGGTCTCATTCATAGGTGCGGAAACTTACACCCAGGGAGGGGAGGGGACCTTCCAAGTCCACACAGATGGGATGAGTCTGTGGGGGCTGCAGCCCCTGTAGTCCATGGAAAGCCTTCATGTTCACCCCTGATTATGGGACAAGATCAGAGAGTCATCCTGTCATGTCAGGGTCCCTGGAAGCAAACCCAGCAGCAGGAATTTGTGTGCAAGGGAAGGAGTAAGGGAAGCAGGATAGGGAAGGGGCAGAGTTCAGCAGGGTGTGGGCTCGGGGAAGCTCAGCCTTGGCCTGAGCCCTATGGGGCGAGGGGCCTTTGGATCATAAACCCCACCATAGAGTTGTCCCTGCTGGAGGCAAGAGGATCAGGCTTTGAAACTCCCAAATCAGTCAGTCATTGGCTTCAGGCCACCTTGAGGACAGGAGGGCAGGCAGGAAGGAGTTGGTGGCTCCCACACAGTCAAGATCTCAATTTTCCACAGGCAGCTATAAGCCATGAGTGCCCAACCTTCACAGCAGCTGGGGAATGGGTGTCCCCAGAAAAGGGGATGTGGGCAGGGCACCAATACTATCTACTGAACTCCAGGAATCAAGGGCAGCTCTACCTCCAGTCCCAGAAAACAACCAGTTCAGAACCAGATAACCCCACACTGCTCAGACCAAGGCAGCTCCATGTGCAGGCCAGTGGACCAGCCATAGTCAACTCCCTCTGAGATTCTAGATTCCCCCCCTCCCAGGGGCTGCTGCTGGGCCGACATATGGTGAGAGCATCCTGGGACCTGACTGCTCTCCTGGACCAGTCCTCTTCATGTGTACTGTTCCCAGAGGTCTCAAGTCCTGGGCCACTGAGCCAGACAAAGTCCAAACACTGTCTGACCAGCCAGAGGGCCCCAGAGGGGGCTGGATAACCCCCTAGGAGNTTGAGCCAGACAAAGTCTAAACACTGTCTGACCAGCCTGAGGGCCCCAGAGGGGGCTGGATAACCCCCTAGGAGCATTTTAATCATCCCACTTGTATCTTCATCCCACCCACACTCTCACCACCCCCACCCTGCCCTCATCACTACTCTCAGATCTTTCTTCCTAAAAACTCTTTGCCNCCACTTGTACCTTCATCCCACCCACACTCTCACCACCCCCACCCTGCCCTCATCACTACTCTCAGATCTTTCTTCCTAAAAACTCTTTGCCTAGCTTAGGCCCCTGCCATCTTTCTCTTCTGCTGGCCCACAGAGCTGCCACCTACTTCTCCTCATTCCTTAAAGACATGAAACCTATGTGATCCTATTAACCAATGTCACCCCAATAAACTTAATTAAATAAATAAATAAAAGTAGAACCAAAACAAAAGAAAGATGTGAGCACATGACTCGGGGTCTCCTGGTAGTCCCTCAGAGCCCTGGCCACGGGGACCACCTGTGTATCACGCTGTCCTTTTCATTCCATGCACTCCTCTCCTTTCATGACCTCCACCTTCACGCCATTTAGCTACCCACTCTTGCCCACACCCCAGACTTTGTCTTCACCCAGAACTGCTCCACCTCTAGAATCTTCCATTTGATTCAAATTGACAAATAGTTATTGTCCACTTTTATGTGATAGGCCACATGCTAGGTGCTGAGGATACACCTGGGAAGAATCAGACACAGTCCCTGGCTTCATGGAGCTTCCATTCTATGAAGAGAAAAGCTGCTAAACTCATGGCATGCTGGGAAGCATGGGGTGCTGGGAGAGGGGGAAGGTGGGTCAGCATCAGGCATCCAGGGAAAGGTTCCCTGAGGCCTCTTAAGCTGATACCTAGAGAAAGGGGAGGATTTTGCCAAGCAAAGCGGGGAGGGGATTCCAGGCAGAAGGGACAGCACATGAAGGGCCTAGAAAGGCCCAACCAGGTGAGGGGTCAAGCTGAAGAAGACAGAGCTTTGTAAGTCCTGTTGATGATTTGGGACTTTATCCTAAGGACAGTGAAAAGTCCCGGAGAGATTTAGCCCAGAAGTAACATGGTCTAATTGGCAGCGTCTGTGGTNAGCTGAAGAAGACAGAGCTTTGTAAAGTCCTGTTGATGATTTGGGACTTTATCCTAAGGACAGTGAAAAGTCACGGGAGAGATTTAGCCCAGAAGTAACATGGTCTAATTGGCAGCGTCTGTGGTTACAGTGCAGAGGCAGGGGCCAGAGCAGGGTTACCTATTCAGAATCTGACACTACTGATCCAAGCGAGAAACAGCAGTGGCCTACACTAGGGTGTGCACAGTGGGGATGGAAAGAAGTAGCTGGATTTAAGAAATGCTTGCGAGATAGAATCAAAAAGATGTGGTGAGTTGATTGGGTGTGGGGATCAGTTAGAGACAGGAATCAAAGAAACACCCAGGTTTCTGGCTCTGGGTGGCGGCACCCTTGCCCAGGGGAGGAGCAGGTTTCAGACAGGGTTGAGTCCAAGATACTAACGAGACCTCCTCTCATTCATGGACCATCTCAGCCCTTTGCTATTTACTATTAGGCTTATTATCATTCTTGATGACTTCACACCCAACACCGTGACCTCTCAGTTCCTTGACTTCCTTGCTTTTAACAATCTTTTCCTCCACCCATCGAACCCACCCACGTGAGCGCTCACACGCTAGACCTTTTCTGTACCAAGAGCTGCATCATCTCCTATCTATCCATCCAGCTCACTGGCTCTGGTTCCCATCCCAGCAATCCTTCCGCCCCATCTCTTGACCCACCACGATTTCACCATCCGTCACCCCCTTCCCATCCTCCCTTCCTTTCCCATCTTGGACTTCACTGCCCCCCCCAGTAATTGCTGGTCATAGATACCCTCCACTCCCTTGCCTTTCAGTGCCCCTAAAGTCACCCACCAGGCAACGCCCTAACTCCACATAAGCCCAGCTCTCCAGAGCATCTGGAGAGTGACACAACGGGATCGAATGGTTTCGATGGAAACTTCTGACCACAAAGCTCAAGTGGACACTCAGCACCTCTAAGAAGTACTACATTTCCTAACACTTGGTGGTTGACAGCTCGCTCCTTAAACACTGTCTTCCTTTGGCTCCCAGGCAGCACCCTCTC